AAGTCCACCCCCAGTGTGAGAGAAGGTCCACAAAAATGTAGCCAGTCAGCAAAAAACAAAAGACAAAACCTCCTGATACCGGTTGCTATGCAAAGGTCTCCAGTGGCAACAGCCATTTACTGCTAAAGGCTCTTGCCCAAGGGGCCTTTTTCTGAGGGCTTAAGTACTTAAATTGCTTCTTTTAGTAGGGTTCCTGTGGGAAGGTCTGGTTCTCCTTACCCGGCCTGTCTGCCCTGCTCCTGTGACACTGCAGCGCAGGGATGTGCTGGAGGCAGCCCTCCAGCAACAGGTGGACAAGGAACGGGAAAGGGGCTGGAGTTCTCTCCTCTCTTATGAAGTGCTCGATGTTTGTAAGCTGACAGGATCCCCAGGACTGCTGGTGCTCCGGACGCTGGTAGAGGCAAGTCCATCACATGGGAAAGATTTATTCTTTGTAGTGTGCCATGGGGTATCTGTATTTAATTACTCCACAAGACCACTCCATATGCACTAGGGGATGAGGCAAGAATCTACTTGTTCCATCAGATACCAGGTTGGCCTGAGTAGGGCTCGAACCTCTTACAAACCTGCACTCAGATGAGCCTGGCTTCAAAGGCCCTGCAAAGAAACAGGCTGGCAGGAAGAGTTCAGCCATCTCTCCTCTTCCATTGGCACCAGCCTTTCCAAAAGAGTCGGTTTGAGAGAGGAAGTCTGCGTGCAGACGTGGTGGTGAAGAAGTGAGGGCTTCCCTGATGCCAGCTACCAAAGGCAGGCCAACCCCAAAGGTCTCTTCAGTGGATCCTTTGCCAGAACATACTTGTCCATCACCAAGAGGGAGAGGTCACCACCTCCGATACAGACAGAGCAATAAGCATTTTATAATGTACAATAAAAGATTAAAGGCATCTCCTGTGTCCTTGTAACGACTGAATTAAGTCATTTCATCTTTGCCTGCTTTGAGCACACACACTGGAACAGAGAGACTTCCAATGTATTGCCCAGAGACTACAGCATGAAGTGTTCTCTCAGTGTCTGGATGTAGAAAACCAGAACCAGAGTTCATTGTTCACAGGCTAAGGGGGGGGGGGGGGGGAAACTTGCTAGGTACAGCTGTAATGCTATTTATGTTGCGAGATTCTTCAGACATGTCTGTTCTCTCCGAAGGAAGAAATGCCATTTAGAATCCATACCCCTATAAAGGGAGATTTAGGACAGATGGTACAGCATGTGCAAAATGATAAGGGAGATGCTCACTCCTTGTTTGGTAGAGAAGAATTAGAGGGTGGTGCAGAGTTGGGTGCTCAAAACACAGTGTGGCAGGAGGCTAGAGGTTATCGTTATGTTCCATAACTGCAGGCTTTAAAAGGCAATAATGCTATTAGTGAGAAGAAACAAATTTAGGCTGGCAGCAACTCATCAGAGAGGGATTCCAACTACCTAATTCCAGTGATTCTCTTAAAGGAAGTGTTTTTATCAACTCTGAATTGATGCAGTAAGTCCACACTTTAGGAAAAGCTGTTTCCTGTTACAGAAGAAAGCTCCTTAAGATCCTACTTCTCTGAGGGTCACAAACATCAAAGCTTTAACTGCTGCTTCAGCATCAGCTTCCACCATAACCCATGAGTCAGGCACCATGAAGACTCTGGGCCTGTGTGAGCTTCAGCCTAAGCCCATCTTTGGCAGAGATACCTCATTCTTGTCAAAGGTTACCAAAAGATACTCCCAAGGTGGTTTACAGGCAATAAAGAGATCAAGGGAAAACCAAACAAGGCAGTGCTGAGCAAAGGGATGCTGGGCCACAGAAGGCAGCACCCTAAAGGCCACCCACATTTCCCCGCTGATTCTGAGTGTTTGTTGGAAGTAGGAGCCAGGAAAGGGAGGTTTCAGGAAGTGCTAAAAAGCAGCAGCAGGAGTGGGCTGCACAACAGGGATCCCGGAGAGCAAGAACTGGTTCCCCACTGATCTCAAAAGCAAAGGAAAGCAGCCTTCCAGCCAGGCCCCTAATGTCATTCCACCCCTGGGCACTAACCCCATCCATTTCCAAGAATCAGCTGAGCAGGGGCTGTGGGAACAGTAAGGAGCAAGAAGCTGCAAACAGAGCCCTTTGCCAGCATACGCAGTGCATGTTTAAAGCTAAGCACCACTTGCCTTCATCCTTCCAAGCACTGTAATATTATGCCTAAAAGTACCACTGAGCCAATATATTCCTCCCCCACGAGTTTAGTGAGAGGGAGCTGCGGGAGGTGGTGTGGAGCAAACAATTCTGCCCAGCATGTCCTTCCCCTTCCCAACACAGCCTCAGCCCCTTCACAACCACCTCCCCCTGCACCGTTCTCCATCTCCTCCAAGGCAAATGAGAACAAGAGGCATTTTATTCCCCGACAGCTCAATAGCATCAGAGGAGGAAACACCTACACAGCTACAGAAAGTGTTAGTATAATCTCAGCTGGTAATGGCTTTCTGGAGGAGATGCAAATGGAGAGGAACAGACTGCTAATGCCAGTATTTGCCAAAGACATTAAAGGTTACATCCCTCAAAAGCATATATCACAGCTGCACATCCATTCTGCTGATAAAAATATGGCAATTCATTGACGGAGTAGCCAGACTCCACTTCTCCAGGAGATGGAGATTGTGCCATATGTTGCACCAAATGTAATTTCCCCCATATTTGCAGGAAAGCTTCCTAAAGGCACATTATAAGCTATTACTGGCTAGCCTGGAAGCAGAAGCCTTGCTGACCAAATTTAATCAGCTTTCCAGAATTTGTTAAAAAGCTGGATCATCAACATGCTTGTTATGCTGCAATATCTTCTGTTTCCTCCATAAATCTGGTGTCTATTAAATCATCTGATGACCTGATAGATTCAAATGATTACGTTCCTCCTTCTTGGTGCTTTAGTTCACACGTCTCAAGGAGTGTGAGCTGGATTCTGTCAGCCCATGCATCAGCATCAATTTGAACTCGCTTCCAAGTGAAGATTCTTTTATTATTAGCAACAGAGCCAGGAAAGACACAGCTTGAATATTAGGTCCCAGATGGAGTCAAAGTTGGCAGGCGGAAAAGCCAGCTTTCTGCTTCCAATCTGAACACACTCAATGCAGAGCCATTGAGTGGCAATAAGGACAAAGCCCCACGATGCCATTTGACACTTTGCAGCACATTGTTGTCCTTTTTAACTGACAAATACCCCCACACAGTGCCACCAACTGCTGACTAGAACCTATTTATACCATCCAGACCTGTTTTGCAGAGGATACAGCCAGCACATTACGAGACACCCTCTCAACCCAAAGGAATATTATCAGCTTCCACTATTTCACACTTCAGGACATAGTTTCTTCCTCCTGTTCAGAGTTCCCTCGCAGCACAAGCACAGGGAAGAGTTGGCCAGCTTTGAGAGAATGGCAGTAGTATAATTTTAGTCTCATTGTTTCTAGCTGCTGTTTCAGGCTGTGATAGTGATGGATGCTGTTACATTTTTAATTGGAAGACATTTCATCCCAGAGCTCACACGGAGCTTGCACAAAACAGACCTGATATTGCTGGATTCTACTACAGCAAAGATCATAAACAGCCTCTGGCTACACTCGGGCAGAAAACGTGCAGTACGTCCTTCCACAAAGGCTGAATACACAATCTCCCCCTCCCCATGCAGTATCTCATCTCCACCATTCAGCATATACAAATCACAGTTGCAATGCCAAAGAATGAAATCCTCAGCAATGGGACTGCCCAAAGCCTAAAGCCTTTGCAAAGAGCTGCTCCACAGCACTGCTCATTCATGTGAGAGATTCACATTCACAAAGCCCACAAAAAGCTCTGGAGGAGGCACCAGCTTCTGCCCAAGGTCCTGTGGCACAAAGGAGCTGGTCTGGGCCACAGCACACGTCAACACCAGCATCTTGCTGTCCCAGTAAGGTGCTGCTGTTCAGAGTAATTGCATTTGCTCAGTATGGCTGAACTGGGAGCAGAAGGCATGCCTTAAGAGGAGGCTAATATAAATACCATCCTGAGTGCTGTGCATCTCTCAGTAATAATCTCATAAAGAGCCATGTAACAAAATCAAGACAGCCAGCATGGAAACCTCCAGATGCTTAAAGGCAACACCTCAGCATGCACAGCAAAGGCAGCAGATTGCCTGCGGCCTTCCTGCTGCTCTGCTCCTCTTCTATTCCATCACTGCTGATCAGCAGCGCCCATCGATCACCGGTTGAGACAGAACTGTGCTGTCCCAGCAGCGTGTTGAGTTACTTCTGGGCCTTCCAAGAGACAGTCTATTAGTGGTTTAATATCAGATAATAAACCCTCCAGCAGGCAAGCTCATCTGCTTTGCAAGGAGAGGGAGAACAGGCTCTGCACTCAGACTCCTGCTGCCCCATCTCACCTCAAAGCGCCTGCAACAAGGAGATGTGAAGCAAACATCTTCATTCCGCACGTTAGGAGGAGCTGGACTTTACAGACACAACATTGGCAGCATGTGAAACTGCCCTTAGAACAAGGAAATGAGTCTTTTTTCAGAGGGGCCTCTTCAACTTACTGTGTGCGATTCACTGGTTTAAAAGCCAACAGCCACTATGTGCTCATAACCCCCCGCACTTGTCAACCGATGTCACCTCTTTCACTACCAGGCTCTCTGCAAACAAAGCCTCCTGTGCTAGAAGTCACTACACCAGCATTAAGAACATGATACTAACTAGGAAAGATCAGTTATTGACAACAAAGCCCCAACAATGGGCATGCACCAACCCACAGCTTAACAGCCCATCAGAAAAGAGACATTCCTTCCTGCTGGAATTGCTGTGTATGGATGACTCTGTTAATGGAGACAGCATTATTGAGTTAGTGCACCCAGGCAATAGCAGGCTCTGTTCCAAGCTTCACTGCTTATCCTTTGGACAAATTACTTTGATTCTCTGTGCCTCAGTCACTGCACATCCAGGACAGTGACAAACTTCACCTGCTTTTTAAAGCTACTTCTTCCTGTAAGGGCAAAGTAATAAAGCACATGAACCACATGTACTGGACCTGCATTTTATTTCTTTAAAATCACATTAGCCAAAAGTATCACCAAAAAATGACTATGATAAAAATATAGCACAATTTCCTCTATGAACAAACGTAGTTTGCTCTCTGAATTCCACCTGTAAACACCTAAAAGGTTTATAAGGCCTGTGCAGGAAGAGCAGATCACCCTGTATCTCTTAAATAAATCCTCCAAAGAATTTGGAATTCCTATGCTCTGTTAGGAAAGGAGATGGAGGCAGCACGGAGACCAGAGGTTGCTGTTGGACTGCTTAGCTTAAAGGAACACAAGGTCACAGTGTCCTGGGCAGTTCCAGGAAGCAGGAAGTGCAAGGGGAGAGCCTCACAATAACACAGCAGGAAAGGAAGCTCCATCCAGCAGGTACAGAATAAACCAAAGGTAAAAACGTCGCAGGCGATTCTCCAAGAAAAATTACAAATGAAACAAGTAAAACCAATGAAAACAAACTTCAGGTCCGGAAAGAACAACAAAACAAGACAAGACCAAACCAAACCAGGTAAAGCACCAGCTATAAACTACCACAACCCTGTCAGATGGAGGGGGAGAGCAGCCACAGGCTAGCTTTACAGTTTAAAACTTCCATGTTAGCCAAAGGAATCCAACTCCCTGTAGGAGACTCAATGCCAAGGTTTGGGACCAAGCTTTAAAGAAGTCTTTCCCCTCCGAAGCACGTTTTCCAGTGTCCATCATTGAAATGTTACATCCTCACCTGCACTGTGCAGTCTTGAACACCATGTTTGTTACTTACTCGGCGAGGAGGTTGTTTTCAATTCAAAGAACACCACTGATGCCAAAATCCTACACAAACCAGGTCGCATTTAAGCATTTCAAAACAGTTCCAAATGTTTCTAACACATAGAAACTTCCATAGGCCTTGTTAAAAACAGATATTAAAACAACTTAAGATACAAACCATTCAAAACCAGAACCATTAACAACAGCTCTAAACGCAGAACAAGAACCAGCACAGTCCCTCAGCAGCAAAATCAAACATGACAAGGCTGTGACAGGGCAACACTGGAAGTGGTCAGGACTGCTCTGGAAATAGTGGTGCTTGGCCAAGTTCTTGCTCACCCTCTGTGCAAGGCTGTACCTTTGGGTGGGTTTCTTGTTGGACCCTGGGTCATTTCTGCAAAAGGTAAGTAAAACAGTTAAAACACACACAACAGGAGCATAATGAGAGGCTGGGACAGCATCTTCTCTGACAAAGCCTGCCCCTTTATTTGGGGCTTGCAGCTGGTACCTAATGTTCTTGTTAGGAGGTTTGAGATGGGAAACTACATTCTAAGCAAGCACCTTGGTAAGTAACAACACACCAGTTTAAAGACTGTCCTCTGAGCTGCCCTGTGCTTTAATACTTGGTCTGCTAAGCTCTTCCTCCCTGGCCCAGTGGAGAAGGCTGAAGGCTCAACTACACAGCAGCCTAAAGCAGCAGCAGGTTGTTCTCACCAAGTGCTATACACGTTGAACACTCATTTGCTCCACCTAAGCACATTCTGATTTAACAAGACAAAACCCCACAAACTTGAAGCAGTTCTAGAGCAACAAGATTCAAAAGCAAATTACATTTCAAGGAGCTTGGTTATCTCCAGGCCTCAGAGTGTTACAAAGCTTTTCCACATCATTAGAGGCTGCTTTGCTCCTCCTGCATTTTGAAAAGCAACCCTGCTACCTCATTGCTTCGTTATTCATACGCAAGCACCAGCATCACTCAGAAAATGGCATTTCTAAACTGCAGACCCATCTGAAGGAGCACAAACTACAAAACCACTCTCAGGACAGTTGGTTTGGAGCATCTGGCCGGCACACTGAGAGCTTTATTTCTACAGCAGTTCTCAGCAAGAGCAGCCGCTGACCAGACAGGTCTCAAGCCAGCAAAGCAACTTGTTCACGCCAACAACTGGGGAGAGATACCTGGATTACATCTCACATCTACTTACTATGAATTCAGAAAGGCTGTGTCCTGCCTGGATCATACAGACTGCTTCCAAGAGGCCTTTAGAGTTACATGGGTCACACAGCAACCAACCCTTACTCATGACTCAAGCACTCCAGTACTATTGGTCTTACAGCTCTGTGTACACAAAACAAGCACCCCTACTCAAAAGAGCAGCTCTGGAGGCCTCACACAGTGAACTTTTGGTAAGAGATGGTTCAGCAGAATGCAAGAATCCTTGAGTTTATAGCATAAAATATTAAACAACCAGTAACTCCAAGCTCACTGGCGCGTTCTTCCAGAACAGGTACTACAGCTCAGGGAAAGGCACCTTCCCTGCAATACTGCCCTGCAAGTCCACTCTCTCAGGGTGCTCTCAGTGCAGAACAGGGTGTTTGTCCTTGCCCGGTCAAAACTCCATGTGATGAATGGAATCATGGTTCTGTGTAACGCTGCTTCCTTCGCAGGAAACAGAGTCATTTGAGCAAGTCCAGGTCTCCTTCATAAACTGCAGTTCTCAGCTTTTAGTTACCCAAAGAGATAACTTCTTGTCAAAAGAAAGACACTTCTAGCAGAGATTTCTTGAGAAACCCATGGCTTTGGGCTGCGTTGTTCAGGAGGGAAGCACCCCAGGGCAGCCCACAAAGGACAAGCTCTCCCTTGTCACGCGCCAGTTCACAGTGTCTGCAATGAGCTGATGCAAGATGTGACGAGGAGAAATCACAGCTTTCCACAAATTCCCAGCCTTCCTACATGCCATCCCCCTCCTCATCTCTGAGTCACAGCTGAAGTGGGTGCACCCTTCACCCCTGCAAGGGAGGGAAGATAAGGAGTTGTGCAAACCACCGCCATGACTCACAAGGACTTGAGCTCCTCTATGAGAAGCAAAGTCCCAGGAGCAGACTAATGCTGTCAAATACTTGGAGAGCCTTTATCTCAGTGCCTCAGGTAACTCTCTAACCCAGAGCTGGGTAGGAATCCTTATGGCCATTACACGTGAGAAAAGGAGACAATGACACCCTGGATAAACTGAACTGCCATGTAACAGACCTCAAAGCAATTTGGTTTTTCTCCTCAGGAACAGTGCATCCCACATCCTTCCACAACAGCTGAGACCAAACTACAGATTTAGAAGATCTCCAAGCAAGTTCCACTCTCATTTAGAAACTGGGAGCTCTGATTATCTCAGCAAAAGCACCTGCACACCAAAGCCATGGGGCTCACCACTAGAGAGGCCCCTGGACCTTCACTAGGGAGCACCTCACTCTGTGAGCAGCTAAATTCCTCCCATCACTCCCCACACCAGAAGGTTCCTTGCTTATCAGCTCCTACCCCACCCTTATCCCAAATCCCATCCAACATCCCCCTGAAACTTAAGAGTTTGTAGGTGGACTTCCCTTGCTTTGAAGTGAAATCTCCCTCCTGGGCTCAGCCATAAATGCAATTCCTCCTCTGTGTCAGCACAACTCAAGTCCTGTACCTTCCCTGCACGCTTTCTATCCCAGCAAAAGGGATTTGGGCAGCTAAAAACTCTGTTAAGATGAACGATTCTCCTCAGCCAGCTCAGTCCCAACCAGCAGAGCTCTTTCCAAGCAGAGCCTGCTAGCACAGTGTTCATTTGTATTTCACAGATTTCTTTCTCCATATGTTCTCTCACACTATTCTCCCTTTCCACCTCTTTAAACCTTGTGTGTTTGTGTTTTAAAAACACTGATCTTGGTTATTACACCAAGGCCAGATGGCCTGTGACTCTTTAGAAGGTATTTCCTCTTCCCCCTTTGATTCAAGAGGGATCCAAGAAAATAATTTATCAGTTTGTCAGCATCAGAAACCTCCATCAACCCAACCAAGCCTCGAGGAAAGCAGTGGCTGAAGGCCAGGCAGGAGCTTCCTCAGCTTCCCAGGTCCCTGGAGGTGCCCTCAAGAGTGGTCCTGCTCCAAACAACAGGAGAATACCTCGTCTGAGGAGCAGGTGGGGCAAGCACCATCCCACAGGCACAGCTACAGTGTTAGTGGCCTGGGAAAGCAGATCTCCTCAAGAGATCTCTTGGCCACAAGGGCGCTCAGGGGCTGAAGCAGCTTCCCTATGGAGCCAGGCTGAGAACACTGGGGCTGTTCAGCCTGGAGAAGAGAAGCTGTGTGGAGACCTCAGAGCAGCTTCCAGTGTCTGAAGGGGGAAACAAGGATGCTGGGGATGGACTCTTCATGAGGGACTGGAGTGATGGCACAAGGGGTGATGGGTTCAAACCGAAACAGGAAGTTCAGGTTGGAGATAAGGAAGAAGCTCTTCCCTGTGAGGGTGCTGAGGCGCTGGCACAGGGTGCCCAGAGAAGCTGCAGCTGCCCCATCCCTGGCAGTGTTCAAGGCCAGGTTGGACAGAGCCTTGGGTAACATGGTCTAGTGGAAGGTGTCCCTGCCCAAAGCAGGGGTTTGGAACTGGGTAATGTTAAGGTCCATTCTAACCCAAACCATTCTGTGATTCTAAATATAGATGTTTGGGTGAAAAGCAAGAGAGTTAAGAGAGGGAAATGCATTTTCTGTTTAGTTTGTCCTTCCCCTGCCCATTTAAAAATAGGCCTATCCAGCTACAAACACTGCTGAGAGCAAAGCGTGAACACACAGTGCCAGGAGACACAGTTACAAAAGCAGGAGCTTCATGAGTTCTGCAGCCTGATACAGAACCAGCCAGAACTGCCGAGGAGAATCTCATCAAGAAGGGTATGATTCCATTTACTGCTGGATAAAGGGCAATAATGAAGTGTGAAGCTAGCAAATGGTCAGCTGGCAGAAAGCTTTTGTGGTCAATTATCAGTTCCAGCCATGCATTTACAAGCAGATGCTCAAATCTCATCTCATTTTTCCGGCTGCTCCAACGCAGCCTCAGCAGCATTTAGATTCCTATGGGAAGCTGCAAATAAATCTATTAGATTAAGTCTCATCTAAAACTAGAGAGGAAGCCCAGCCAGAACCACAGGTTATCTCCCAACTCACTGGACGTGAGAAGTTTACTCTCAGTACAAAAGGATTTCTTCCCACTAGTTGATGTTCAAACACTGTCCATGTGCCTGCAGCTTTTAGCACACAATCACCCAACACATGTAAGCAAGCTGCATTTATAGAGAAAGGTGCCATGCAGGTAAGTGGAAAGACAAAACCTCTGTTGTAGCCAGCCTGTAATTCACCCAGACAACATATAAGCAAGAAGCAAGAGACAGGCTACAGGAAGAGATTACATGGAAGAGGGGACAGCAAGGTCAAGCACTACCATAAGACAAAGGCCAGGAGATTTGCAACACAAAACAGAGCTAAAGATTCGTAGCAATGTATTAGTTACTGCTTCCCAAAGGGAATTCCTTTGCTCATTTTCCTTTAGAAGTTCCTTGGGATCATTTTGCCTCTTCATCTCCCACGCAAGACACTGCTGCGGATCCAGGTGCCCAGAAGTGCCATACAGGGTCACAGTCAGCCCACTGAGGAGGTGTTCCAGTGGCAACTGGGAAAGCCTATGCTGTCTGTTGGGCTGAATTCCAAGCCTACAGCTATTTGGAATGAGAGGTTTGCACTAATAAGAAAATCAAATTGTGTGCATCACATACAACCTTCTTCCCCAGCAAAGCAGATCCCTGCTCCACTCTGCAGCCTCCTTCATTTGGAGCTTGATTTTCTGTGACTCATAACATAAGTCTTGCATTTTTAATTTGAAAGAAAGAGAAAACAGGCCATTTGAGCTCTCCTTGCACAGTCCCCTCTGCATTACTTATGCTGTATTCATAGTCTGGAAAGCAGCCCTGTGGCTATGCAGCTGCTCGTGCTGCCCAGATAAGTGCAGGCTCCGTGCACCCAGTCACAAAACTGTCAGCTCCTTCTACCTCAAGAAATGACAGTTATTGCACCCATGAACACTCAGAATAGCCATAGTGGGAGGCCAGCTTTGGAAGCTACCAGAACATCCCAGTTCTACCCATCAGCTCTTACCTGCTCTTTACAAACACCTTCCTTTCACCCTCTGCATTTGATGGCTCTTGCATGAGACTGTTGGGACAAGCAATGTTGAAGGTTTCACCAGTAAATCCAAATCTCTGTGCTTCAGCTAAAGATTCCCTGAGGTTGGGTTCATAGTTGTGAACTGACAAGAACAAGTTACCTCCCAACACAACCAGCCAGAGCTCAGCTCTGCTCTTCCAAGTAACACAGGCCTGTTTTGGGAGTATCCCTGATTTACTGCAGCAAGCCCTTTGGGTGATGTTTCCTAGCTATCCCTAACTATGAAACTCATCTGAATCAGTCCTAGAACAAGACTGATGGCTGAACAGGAGCTGGAAGTGCAGCAGTCTTTTATTTCCCTTTGAAAAACAAGTACATTCGAAATGTCAAAGCCTCCAAGTTCAGCAAGCCAGGGTGTCTACCCTCCATCACCAGCACAGCCTTACCCATGCCATCTGGGGGTTACCTGTTGCAGGAGCTGCAGCTTTCTTCATAGGGATGTGCACACTCTGGATAGAAAGGCTCAAACTCTGCTTCCAAAATGCATGCCCATTGTTTCAGGCTTTAAAAATAAAAGGGGGGGGGGGGGTATAGAAAATTTATCAAATTAGGTTACAGAAGACAGCACCCTGCAGAGCTACTGTAGACAAGAATTCTGATAGCTCTGTTCTGTGATTGCAAAAAAGGGAAAGTATTTATTTGAGTAAAGCTGCAAAGATAAAACACTGAGAGCAAGGCAGGAGTGGCAGCTGAGTGCCCCAGCACATTGCTGCCTGACCAACAAAGCAGGAACCTGCAGCGAGTCCCCAGAAGCAGCAGATTCTTCACGTTACTTCAGGCCACACTGGGAACAGCAACACAGAACGTCTGAGGACAGCAACCACAGGGAAGAACCGAAGTGACAAGGCCAGGCCCAGAAGCACCCGAGAGCAGAAGAAACCACCCCTGTGCAGTGCCCGGAGCTGCTCTACTGCTGCCACCTGCAGGAAACCACTGCAGGAGAGCAGCCAAGGAGCCAGCCCAAACAGCTCCTCTTCCACCCTGCACATCACTGCCCAGGACCCAGTTACCAACCTTCTTTCTCACTTGGACCAGCCCTATCTTCTTCCCCCTCTCATAGCATCTTACAGAGGAAAATAGTAAGTATTCCCCCTCTCCCCCATTTCAGTCCATCTGAAGGAATAAGGAAAAGGAAACACAAAACCAGCAGCACACAACCAACCAAACTGGTTTAGAAAACCACAGGGACATTTTGCAGGCTCTTAAGAAATTACCTTTCTTCCTCCTCCTGTGGCACAGGAATAACTTTGCCAGGCTCCTTCCCACTGGTTGCCTCTTCCTGCTCAATCTGGCCTCCAGCTGTACTGCCTGACTAGAAAGGTAAGAAAAAGGGGATTAACACCCAATTAAAAAATCATTTCATGTAAGTCTCGATTATACAGTTATAAAATCCCACTTGGAAAACCTTTCGTGTGTAAAAAAGCACATTTGTGTGCACATGGACACCACTGCAAATATCAAAGTGAAATGGGACTGAAAACCTTTTAGCTACGAGAATTAAGATGTGTGTTTACTTTCATGCTGTTTGATGGCTGCTCAGCTTCTGTGGAATCCTCCTCATCACCCTCTGGAAAGCTCAGTTTCCTTGAGAAACAGCTCTTGGTTGCTTTGGGAAGTCCTTGGCTCTCAGACCCAGAAGATGGTGTGGAACACATCAGCATCAGAGGCACTGAACCATCCTCAGCTGGACTGTGGTTGGCAGAGGGCATGCATCTTCCCTCGCCACCACCACAGAAGTCAGGCACGTGGCTGCTGGTAGAAGGAGTCTTCCTCAAGCTTTGCCAGCCATTGGACATCAGCTCCTCCAAGGAGGCTTCAAGATCACAGCTATGAGCAGTTTTATCATTGCTGACTGCTTCTAAAGCTTCTTTTTCAGCTTCCTCCAAACAGCTGTCCTCCAGAAGCTCATCCACATCACCAGCATCGATTGGGCTAAGATTCAGAAGCTCCTGGATGTCAAGGTCAAAGAGTATGTGAGTTACTTGGGTTGACTGCTGGAGGTTCTCATCCAAACCAGCACTTTCAGTCAGAAGGCTGGGATAACCTTTAGAACTGACTGAAGAAGACTCTCTGGACAGAGGTTCATTTGGGTTCTCTGTGATCACACCTTCCCTCATGGCTGATGCCCCACTGCCCCTGCTGCTCTCATCCTTTTCACTCTCTGCATCCACACTTTGGCTCAGCGCTGTCTTTCTAGTTAGGTACTGCTCAGAATCCACACAATCATCTGCCAAGATTTCCTGGATCTCTTCCTCAGTGAAATTGAAAGGAGAATTCCCTTCTTCACTGTCTGACAGCTCCAACAAGGCATCATCTGGCTCACTACCACCAAAACATCTGCTGGTGTCTAAAGAAATGGCCACATCATCATAATTCGATGCAGAAGAACTGGCAACAGGGTTGTTGTGGCCAGCATTATCCAGAAAACAAGGGGATCCCTGAAAGCAGGCAGAGCCTGGGGAACAGAGCAGCGGTTCCCTTGCTGGGTCTGGAGTGCTACAGTCATGACCCAGCACACAGGTTTTCTTTGCTGACTGCAGGGCCTGAACCTGCTCTGAGGAACCCAACAGCCTTTTGGCTCTGGGAACTGTACTGTCACCAGTGGGCTTAAATTCATGATAAAGACAAACGCCAGAGGAGTGAGGGGAATGGTCGTCCATGTTGCTGCTAGTTCCTGTGTCTCAGTGACCCTGTGCCTTCTGCTTACAGCTCTAGAAGCTCATTCTCAGGTTCACGTGATGCTGGTGTCCTTTGATCAGCCTTCAGAAATCAGCAGGAGTCAGCTCCAACCTGCCAGGAAAACCAACATCTTAAAGAAAAGAACCTCAAGTGTTTTCCAAAGCAGCAGTGATGTGAAGGGGGAAGCAAAGCCACCAGCTGAGGCACAATGTTAACTCACAACTTCCAGTACCTCTGCTCCAGACCATTTTAGGTCTTAACACCACACAATAACAACCAGTCCCTCATTCCCTAGGTGTTCTCACACACAAGGCCGTTTGGCTTTCTCAAGCAGGACTAACACAAGCCCTCATCACTAACACAGTCCCTGCCATCTCCTCCGGAGCTGCTGTAAATCAGTCACTCCAATACCAGCATTCACAGGGTACCTTCTTTACGACCTCACATTTAAAGTGCAGAGCATCCTTGAGGTGTTAAACACAGCTTCAGAGATGCTCCCAGGGCCTCAACCCCACCACCCCCCCAGTGATACCAAACAAAGAAAGTCTTTTTTTGGGTTAGGAAAAACTGAGCAAGCAAAGTAACTGCCAGGGAGCTCTGAGGACATTCAGCAGCTCTTAGTCACTACCACGCTCATACACAGCATGTTTTCTAGTGAGAGATGAGAAGATAAAGAAGCTGCCCGTAAAATTCCATAGTTTAGAAGCATTTACAAACAAAACCTGTTTTCCTCCTAGAGAGGACTCACACTAACATCAATCTTTTGCCTTGGATGCCCTGCATTTGACTCTCACCCAGCAGGAGAATCTGGGCTAAGAAAAGGTTATTTCCTGTCCTCTTTGACCAAGGGATTTAAAGGAAAATCCCTCTTGTCTTTCCACTGCCTTCAAAACAAGGGGGGGGGGGGGAATAAACACCAGGGAGTTCTGCTGCTTCCTCCTCATTCTGCCCAACCAATAAAAATCAGCACTGTCAGGGTAATGCTTTCACCACAGTGAAGGAAGAAAATACCTAGGGAATCAGCTACACACATACAAAACCTACGCAAGAACACACAGAGCCATGAACAGCCCTCACAGGGCTTGTCTGGAGTTCTGCAATTTAGCTCCAAGTGCTTCAAAAGACAAATAGAAGTAAATGAAACCTGGATCGGGTCCCAGAGTGCAGCAGGATCTAGCTCCAAACTGATAAGGACCTGAAAAGAACCAAAACGCTTTAAGCCTTTTAGCTGGAACAAAAAGTACATCTGGGGATGTTTACACACTCCGCTTGCAGACAGGGAACTGGTTTCTCTACTGCTGTGACCTTCCCAAGTCACCTAAACGCAGCCTACGCGGGGGCTGTACTTCCAGGCCGACATCAGCTGATTCAGAAGCAGAACTCTGGTAACGGTGATTCACGAGCCCAGACAGAGCCCCCTGCCATTCCCAATGGGTGCAATTCAGGGGCTGTTTGAGGGGTTTTAAACTCTCAGTAACACTTTAACAGCTCGGAAACTGATGGAAGACAAAGCTGCCCCTCTCACCCCACCCCTCACTCCAGCACTGGTGCTTGCACAGTCACATCGTGCTGGAGCCAGCGCATCCCCACTGCTATGGATGTGCTCTTCTCCCAGGGCTGCCAAAGGAAGGCTCCTTGGAAAGTTGTGTTTTATCATAGAACATTAGACTGGGTTGGAAGGGACCTTAAAGCTCCTCCAGCTCCAACCCCTGCCACGGGCAGGGACCCCTTCCACTAGAGCAGCTTGCTCCAAGCCCCTGTGTCCAACCTGGCCTTGAACACTGCCAGGGATGGGGCAGCCACAGCTTCTCTGGGCACCCTGTGCCAGCGCCTCAGCACCCTCACAGGGAAGAGCTTCTGCCTAAGAGCTCATCTCAGCCTCCCCTCGGGCAGGTTCAAGCCATTCCCCTTGGCCTGTCCCTACATCCCTTGCCCAAAGCCCCTCTCCAGGCTCCCCGCAGCCCCTTCAGGTGTTTCTGTGGGTGCCTTCAACGAACACCAAGACCCAAAGACAACGATACCGAGACACCCCCGCCTGCACCGCCCTCTGCAGCCACGGCTCCGCTCACACCCGTTACGGGACCGCCCCTCGGCCCGCGGGCACCGCCCCGGCACCGCCCAACCGGCGCCTCAG